GGGGGGCCTTAATTTCAGCAGAGACTAAAATTAAACAATTTTGAAACAAGCTCCTTCTTCCCCAGTGTATCTTGGAGCAGCTGCTCAACGGTGTCTGTCTGGCAGGCGGGACCCCCGCTCGGTCCGTTCCTTGATCCCAGCGATGAGACTTTGGAACAAAATCCCTTGCTGAAGCCTCCCATTACCTTATAAACACTCCTTGTGTTGAGACTGGAAAGGTTGAGGTGGTTCAAGAATGGCTATTTCACTGCCCCAAAGTCTCATCAGCTTGCAAGGGCTCTATGACCATATCTGGTACAGGCGCTGGTTCTCAGAGAATGGAGGCCTAAAGTACTTTAGTATGAGATCACATAAGCCCAATAGTGCAAGATCTCATGCTACTAATCTTCTGTGATCTCGCACCGCAGTACTTTAGGCCTGTGTTCTTTTAAAAACTGAGGACTTCACGAGATCCAGGTAAAAAGTCTTTGTGAGGGGACTGGGTCTCAAGTACTAGAGGAGGGCTGGTCATAACTTGGAATGGTTGCTAAGTGAACTGTCATAAATCGGGTATTACTGGTACCCTAGGATGCTCTGAGTTACACTGCATGAGGCCTTTGTTCTTGAATTGGATTCCATGGGCTCCCATGGGCTGAGTGTGAAACTTCTCTTCTCACACAATTTGGGGAGGTTTCAGAGGACAAATGAAAACACGCTCCTCTCACTTTTTCAAAGGCTGCTTCTTGGCACCTCCAGAGAACACATAAAAGCACATCTCATTCTTTTCAGCCTCCACAGATAAGTTCAAATAGAAATGGGAAAATACAGATAAGAAATGGCACAGAAAGCATCTAAGCAAAGAGACATTGACTCTTTCCTTCCTTGGATCACAACAAGGCCAGGTCCTTTCCTTCTCCCTCCTAGGAGATGATATCTGATTAGTGGTTATTTAATAAAAAACTAACTATAATCTCTCTTCTTGATTGGGGACTAGAAAACTCTTACCCAGAGAGACCATGTTCCTATGGTTTTCAAGCATGACTTCTGAATGCAGCACTTTCTGGTCAGGATCCAGCTGAGACCATTCCTCCTCAGAGAAATACACAGCCACCTCCTCGAAGTACACAAGAGTCTCCTGGACATGGAAAAAAGAACAGAACAGGAGGATTCGCAAGATCTGTTCATCTTCATCATTGATTTAGACAAGAGGATAGACGAGGAACTCATCCGATTTTCATACAAGACCAAATTGATAGGAATACCAACACTCCAGAAAATTGAAAGCCATCAAAAACGCCCCCAGACCAAAGAACAAAACGGACCTCCAAGCCTTCCTCGGACTCATTAATTTCTATAACATTTTTCTACCCCAGAAAACGACTGTCGCAGAACCTCTGCATAGACTCCTTGATAAAAAGGCTTCCTGGATATGGGGACGGCGAGAAGAGCATGCTTTTCACCAGATAAAAAACCTTTTGACTTCAGACGCAGTCCTCATGCAATACAATGAAACGCTACCTCTGACTGTTACTTGCGACGCATCGCCTTTCGGGGTTGGCGCCATCCTGAGCCACGTTTTACCAAATGGAACAGAAGCCCCCGTTGCATTCTTTTCCAGAACATTGTCCAAGCCAGAGAGGAACTATAGCCAGCTGGACAAAGAAGCCCTTGCCATCGTGTCAGCAGTAAAGAGATTCCACAATACATTTATGGTAGGACATTTTCCATTATTACAGACCATAAGCCCCTACTTGGCATATTGGCGGGTGACAAGCCCACCCCACACATCTTGTCATCTAGAATGACTAGATGGTCTGAATTTCTTGCCGCTTATAATTACAAATTGATACATCACCCTGGCAAGACAATCTCGCATGCCGACGCTTTAAGCTGCTCCCCCTTGCCAGACCTGCAAGAAGACCCAGCACCCACATTACCAGTCTTGTAAATTGAAATGATCCCCATGCCACCAGTAACCGCGCAAGACATCGCCCATGAAAATAGGAAAGACAGGCGCTTGGCGCGAGTTCTCAGCTGGGTGGAGAGGGGATGGCCAGAAACCGAGCCAAACGAACTTTTAAAACCGTTTAAAAACCGACAAACTGAACCCTTTTCGCAAAGAGGTTGTGTGTTGTGGGGAGACCGGGTAGTAATACCAGAGACACTACAGAAAAAAGTTTTAGACTTGCTGCATGACTTGCACCCTGGTATTGTGCGCATGAAAGCCCTGGCCAGGAGCTACGCTTGGTGGCCAGGCATGGACAAGCAAATTGAAACCTGGGTCGCCGCTTGTAACAGATGCCAAGAGACTCGCTCGGCTCCCCCTAATGCCCCACCATTAGAATGGGAAACACCTAGAGGCCCTTGGTCGCGCATCCATATTGACTTCGCAGGGCCAACCAAGGGGCACACCTTCTTAATAACTGTTGACGCTTATTCAAATTGGCTCGAGGTGAGCACAATGAAGACAACCACCACAGAAGCTGTCATCAAGAAATTAAATAAACTTTTCGCAATGCATGGTCTGCCAGATGTCATCGTTTCTGACAATGGGCCACAATTTACCGCCTTGGCTTTTGAACAATACTTGGCAAACCGCGGCATCCAACACGCATTGACATCGCCAGCTCACCCAGTGGCGAATGGTAGAGCTGAACGCATGGTTCAATTTACAAAAAAAACTCTGCACAAAATGGAACATGGCAACATCCACGAGAAGATCACCAGGATGCTTCTTCTACAACATATCACACCAAATACCACCACCAACAAGAGCCCAGCAGAGATATTAATGGGCAGAAGACTCAGGTCACCTCTAGACTGCCTGCACCCTGCTTACACCCCAGAAAAACCCCTTGGTTCCAGCAGCAAGCACCGCGCCTTCAAGGTAGGAGACACTGTATTTGCCAAAAACTTTACAGGGGACCCACTTTGGATCCCTGCAAAAATCACCCAAGTCACAGGCCCCTGCTCCTACCGGCTCGAGACCACCGATGGGAGGTCGTGGAAACGTCATATTGACCAGCTAAGATCCAGGCTGGCCGCTTTCCCCCTCATAGACTCTAACCAAGAAATCAGAGGGGGGGGGGGAACCTCAAGTTCAGAAAATGAACGAACATCTGTACAAGTAGAACACCCCCCACAGTCATTAAACAAAAACCAACAATACTTACCAGCCAGAAGGGAGTCGTGGCAGATGGGCACTTCGCCTGGAAGCAGCAGCCGGACAAGCTCCACCAGCCCAGAGAGCCCAGGCGGGAGCAGCAGAGCAAACGACCCAACCGACCCGGAATCACCAGGCGGGAATCGCAGCCAGAGGACCGGCTCACCCTTCCAGGCAGTTCCATCTTGCAGCTCGAGAGCGACGCAGAGCCCGTCCGAACCCGATAGTGAACAGAGACATTGTGAACTGCGCAAGTCTAGTAGGCAGGTACGAAGACCTGCCTACGTGCGTGATTACGTTACCCCGCCCCTTGGACGGAACCAAGAGGGGAGGGGTGTTCCATACTAGCAGGCTTGTAGGCCTGCATTCCTATTGGTCTGGAAAATCCGGACCGTGATTGGACAAAACTAAGCGTTCTGATTGGTTCTTATTCGGCTGCTGCGATTGGGTAAAACCAAGCGCGGCAAGCTCAAATGCATGCCATAGGCTGCCTAGCCGCAGCCAGCTCTATAAAAGGAGCTGCCTCGGCTGGGAGTCTTGTCTCAGTATCTGGTTTCCTTAATAAAGAGCTGTTGTCACTACTTCGAGTCTCGTCTCTCCTTGGGACCCACCGCCCAGACTTAACAGGAAGCCCCGGAGAGGAACCTTTCCTGCTACTCCCAAGCCCATCATCCCTGCCCCCTCCTTTCTCCCCCATGCGCTCCTCTTTCCCGCCCTTTCTTCCATCCTGGCCCTTTGCCCCAACTCCACCAGAGGGCGCCCTCCACCAAAGAAAGGGAACTCCAGGCGCTTCCCCATTGGGCCATTGGAGGGCGAAGTTCACGCCTGCCTTCCCGGAGGAGGAGGAGGAGGCGGTGAAGGAAGTGACATCACTGAGCCTTGCCTCTCTAGGACGTCGCACTCGCTCTCTTCAACCCCTGGGGCGCCGCAGGAGGCGGAGAGATACGGGAGAGTCTGGCGGGGAGACGTCGAGATGTTCCGGGTGAGGGGGGGCTCTTCCCGGGTCCCATGCTCCCCAGCCGCCCTCTCCATGCGAAGCGGGGGAAGGGAGGGGGTGTCTGGCGGAGGCCCAGCCGGGAAGGAGGAAAGCCAGGCGAGGAGGAAGAGGAAGCAGGATTCGCACCAGGCTTTCCGAGGGCCCGATCCTGTCTACGGAGGGGGAGAGAAGCAGGGGAGCGGCGGCCTCACCAGCTTTCCAGCCCTGCGCTGGGAGGAGCCTATTGGGCAAGTTGGGGGAAAGGTATTCAGGGGCTGAATCCCCCTTTCTGATCCTGGGCGTTGGTTTTTCTCCCAGATCTGGAACCTCGGATCCCTCGGCAGCCTTTGCAAGCCAGGATTTCCTCTGGGTGGGAAGGAAGGAAGGAAGGAAGGAAGCGGAAGGACCAGCAGGGATCCGTCCTGCAGCCCCAGAAATGGTCCCATGAAGGAAGAGTTTCCAGAGACGCCACAGAGTCCCTGGAGCCCTTTCAAGCTGCTCTGCCGGAGAGAGGAAGGATGGAGACACCCTCTTTGGCCAAGGAGGGGAGCGGAAAAGGCCTCACAACTCTTCAGCCTGGGAGCTGTGGGGAGAGCTGGACCAGAACCGGGCAGAAGGTCCTGCAGGAGAGGACCCTCCTCCCTTCAGAAGTTCCACACTGGACCTCCATCCAATACCAGGAGGCTGAGGGTCCCCGAGAACTTTGCAGCCGACTCCATGACTTGTGCAGGCGATGGCTGAGACCAGGAAAGCACAGCAAAGCCCAGATGCTGGACCTGGTGGTTCTGGAGCGGCTTCTGACTCTCCTGCCCCCAGAGATGGAGGGCTGGGTGCGGGAGTGTGGAGCAGAGAGCAGCTCCCAGGCGGTGGCCCTGGCGGAAGGCTTCCTCCTGAGCCAGGCGGAGGAGCAGAAGAAGCATCTCCAGTGGCAGGTGGGAGACTTTAGGGAGTTCATAAGGGAATAAATAGAGGGAGTGCTTGAATGCTTCACCCCTCCTTCCCAAACTTCTTCCATGTTCATAATATGAGGCAATTCTCCAGTTCTTGTAGGACATTGTTCCACTGTTTTCTCACCCAGCCACACGGATGGTTATTGGGGGCTTTGAGGTTGTGTTCCGAATAGAAGAATCCACTTTATGTCATGTGACATACATTAATTCTACTTCTTTCTTTCCTCCTCCTATTTGAAGTTCTGCAGTGTGGAGATCAGAGACCCTGAGGGAAAGAAGAACCCATCAAATCCCCCTCAGGAGCTATTTTTCGGGAGGATTCCTTGGGAAGATCCAAGTCAGGACACCTCAGGAGGTAATGGAAGATCCTCCGATTATCCATCTGTCTTACCTTCCCTCTCTCTTCTCTTCTATAGAATACCTTCTCTTTTGTTAATTATGTATTTTAAATTATTTATTCCTTACAGAGAAACAACAAATGAAGCTTTCTGGTTTTTATGACGGAGATCAAACAGTGGTTGAACCTCCAAATCAAGTAAGAAAGGGAAAAGATATTAGATTTCTATTCTCCCTTCAAGGAAGGGAAGGGAGTGTGCAGAGCGCTTTCTCCTTCTATTCCCCCCCACCCCCTTTGTTTGGCCTGGATTATATTTGTGTTTTTCCACAACATGGAAAGCAGAATAGCAGGTTCAAGTTGCTGTCAGACTTGTCTTATCTTGCTCTGCTAGGTTCTCCTCCAACTTTGAGTTTACAAGAAGCCATTTTTAAAGGTCATTCAAGAAATAGGAATAAACATATCACAGTGGCAGGAACTGTTAGAGACCTTTTTAAAAAAATTATTTGACTCGGAATTGTGCAAGGCTAATGAAAAATAAATACATTGCCACATTACCATTTTAACATTACTGGTTATTTATAACCAGTAGTTCAAAAATAAACAAATTGTATTAAAAAATAAAGCAGACTATTAAAATCCGAAGGGAGTGGCCATGTTGAGCCTGTAATTATGGGACCTTGATCTAGAAAATAATTTCCAATCCTCTGATTTTCGCCTTGATTAGGAGAATCAAACATTTCCTCTTTGCAAAGGCTGAGAAATGACTTTCCCAGGGAATATTCTCCCCTTTGCTTTCTTCCTTTCAGATTACTAGATCAATCAATGATAGACAGAGCGATAGATCAGTTGATCCAGAAGTGGGATTACTTTACTGATAGGCACTGAAGGTTTTACAGAATCAATGAGCTTGATAAAACTTCCCCAAATATTTCTTCAGTGAAAGCAATTTTCAGATTTGCCCATTTTGTCAGCTAAAATTAGGACTTCTGTGATGCACAGCTTAGTGCATATCTCTGCTTTGGGAATTTGGGAACAATGGAATAGAATAACAGAGTTGGTAGGGATCATGGAGGTCTTCTAGTCCAATCCCCTGCTCAGACAGGAAGCCCTATAACATTTCAGATAAATGGCTGTCCAATTTCTTCATAAACACCTCCAATGTTGGAGCACCACAGTTTCTGGAGGGAAGTCATTCCACTGATTAATTGTTCTCTCTGTCAGGAAATTTCTCTTTACTTGTAAGTTGGTTCTCTCCTTGAATAGTTTCTATCCATTGCTTCTTGGAACACTACTATCATGCCACACTCTAGTCCCCCTTTTCATGAAACTAGATATACACAATTCCAGCAACCATTCTTTATATGTTTTAGCCTCCAGTCCACTAATAATTGTTGTTGCTCTTCTCTGCCCTCTTTCTAGAGTCTCAAGATCTTTTTTACATCTGGCAAACAAAATTGGATGCAATATTCCAAGTGTGGTCTTACCAAGGCCTTATAAAGTGGTACTAACACTTCACGTCACCTTGATTCTATCCCTTAATGGAGCCTATGATTCTGTTGGGTTTTTTTTTTTTTTTTTGGCAACTGAAGCATCGTGCTGACTCATGTTTAAGTGGTTGTCCACTAGGACTCAGAGAACCCTTTTGCACTTACTACTCTTCAGCCAGGTATCACCAGTGCATTTAGTTTTTCTTTCTTCAACATAGAACCTTACATTTCTCACTGTTGATTTCATTTTGTTAGATGAGGCCCAATCTGTCGATCCTTCTATATCTCAAGCTTATTTTCTGGAGTGTTGGTATTCCTGTCAATTTGGTCTTGTCTGCAAATTTGATGAGTTCCCCTTCTATCCTCTTTTCTAAATCAGTGATGAAGATGAACAGACCTTGTGAATCCTGCTGTTCTGTTCCTTTTTCCATGTCCAGGAGGGTCTGGTGTCCTTCGAGGAGGTGGCTGTGTATTTCTCTGAGGAGGAATGGTCTCAGCTGGATCCTGACCAGAAAGCGCTGCATTTGGAAGTCATGCTTGAAAACCATAGGAGCGTGGTCTCTCTGGGTAAGAGTTTTCTACTCCCCAATCAAAAAGACAGATTATAATTAGTTTTTATTAAAATACCACTGATCAGATATTGTATTGTGGGAGGGAGAAGGAAATGATCTGGCCTTGTCATGCTCCAAGGAGGGAAAGTGTCAATGTCTCTTCGCTTAAGATGCTTTCTGTGCCATTTCTCACCTGTATTTTCCATTTCTATTTGAACTTGTCTGTGGAGGCTGAAAAGAAAGAGGTTTGCTTTCATGTGTCCTCTTGAGGTCCTGCGTGAGGAGTTTGTTGTCATTTGTCCTCTGAAACCTGCAAAACTGTGTGAGAACAGAACTTTCACTCTGAGGCCATGGAAGAGCATTCTCCCAATCCAATTCAAGAACAAAGGTTCCATGCAGTGTGACTCAGAGCATCCTAGGGTACAGGTAATCCCCGAGTTACAACAGTCCAGTTAGCAACTGTTCCAAGTTATGACTAGCCCTCCTCCTAGTCCTTGAGACCCAGTCCCCTCTTCATTTTCAAAGACTTTTTAACTGGACCTCGTGAAGTCCTCCATTTTTAAAAGAACTCAGGCCTAAAATACTGCAGTGCGAGATCACACGAGATTAGGAGCCTGAGATCTTGCACTACTGGTCTTGTGTGATCTAGCACTAAAGTACTTTAGACCTCCATTCTCTGCAAATTGTACCAGATCCGGCCAAAGAGCCCTTCCAAGCCAATGAGACTTTGGGGCAGCGAAATAGCCATTCTTGAAGCATCCCAACCTTTCCAGTCTCAGCACAAAGAGTGTTTACAAGGCAATGGGAGGCTTCAGCAAGGGATTTATCTCCAAAATCTCATCGCTGGGATCGAGGAACAGGACAAATGGGGGTCCAGACAAACAGACTCTGTGGAGCAGCTGCTCCAAGATACACCAAGGAAGAAGGAGCTTGTTTCAAAATGGTTTCATTTCTCACAGTCTCTGCTGAAAGTAACCCACCCCAATAAATCTTAAGTTTTCTCCTAATTCCTCCTTGGATGCTTGCCCTGCTTATTCCTTAACTCAAAACTGACTGAGTCAGATTTACATATATATAGATAATTATAAAGAAAGAGATGTTTTCTAGATATTTTCAGAGCTTTCGTGACTCATGAATATAGAAATCATATCACATGCCTATAGGCATGCAAACATATAACCTAATTGTCTTTTTGGAGAAATTCAGAAGGAATTTCAATGGACTTTCCAACTTTGATTTTTTTCTCAAACCTTGTTATCATTTTATATTTCTTTTTTATTTAAGTTTTTTATTTTTATTTTTTTAAAAAACAACTCCATCTTTCAGTTACACAGTGTGTCGACTGGGTACATATATCTTATGCACATATTAATATTTTGTATACATTTCTTACTAAGTTTACATTCATATTACAATCTATTCAACATTATATGTCATTATAACTATCATTTAATATCTACACTTTATATTCCAACCATTTATAAAATAAATCCCATATCATATAGTATTCCATTTCTTCTTGTTCTCTAATTGCCAATGTTAATCTACTCATTTCTTCACATTCCAATATTTTCTTAATCACCTCCTCCATTGGAACCTTTTCATTTTTCCAATTTTGAGCAAATACAATTCTAGCTGCTGTTAATATATGTATAATTAAATATGTTTTTCTTTACTATAGACCTTATTTTCATTTTTATTTCCCTTTTGCTTTGAAGGTAATAATGGGCAGGGGAATCAAGATTCCTGTGAACTGTTCCAAGTGATCAGTGCTAAAGATGGAACAGAGAAGTTTGGAATTCAAATGGAATTAGAAAGTCATGAGACAAACCAGTCAAAGAATTGGACTCAGGAAAGCTTATCTGCCAGTGATGCTCCAATGCAAGACTTTCTTGCCCAAGAAGAGAAAATAAGGAAAAAATATACTGGGAAAAGTGTGAAGCTAATCAAAGCTAAAGTACAAGTAAATGAACACTATTTAACCCAAAACAAAGGAGAAGGTTCTATAAGAAGACACAACGGACAAAATTACAATGGGACATTCATTCTTTCTCTTGGGAATAATTTCCTTACATCTCAAAAAGTGATTGACACAAAAGAGAAGCCTTATAAATGTTTGGAATGTGGAAAATGTTTTAGAACAAGCAGGCAATTTACTATCCATAAAAGGATTCACACAGGGGAGAAGCCGTATAAATGCATGGAGTGTGGAAAGACGTTTACTGTGAGCAGTGGACTTAGAAGCCACAAAAAGATCCATACAGGAGAGAATCCATTTAAATGCATGGAGTGTGGAAAGACCTTTGCTCATAGCAGTACATTTACTATCCATAAAAGGATCCACTCAGGAGAGAAGCCTTTTAAATGCATGGTATGTGGAAAGAGCTTTGCTCAAAGAGGTAATCTTATTTCCCATAAGATGATCCACACTGGGGACAAGCCGTATAAGTGCATGGAGTGTGGAAAGAGCTTTGCTCAAAGAGGTCATCTTATTTCCCATAAGATGATCCACACGGTGGCAAAGCCGTATAAATGCATGGAATGTGGAAAGACCTTTGCTTGGAGCAGGAGCCTTAAAAGCCACAAAACGCTCCATACAGGGGAGAAACCATTTAAATGCCTGGAGTGTGGAAAGACCTTTGCTCATAGAAGTACACTTACTATCCATAAAAGGATCCACTCGGGAGAGAAGCCTTTTAAATGCATAGAGTGTGGAAAGAACTTTGCTAAGGACAGTGATCTTAAAAGGCACAAAAAGATCCACACAGGAGAGAAACCATTTAAATGCATGGAGTGTGGAAAGACCTTTACTCGGAGCAGTAGCCTTAAAATGCACAAAAACCTCCATACAGGAGAGAATCCATTTAAATGCATGGAGTGTGGAAAGACGTTTGCTCAAAGAGGTAATCTTATTTCCCATAAGAGGATCCACACAGGGGAGAAGCCGTATAAATGCATGGAGTGTGAAAAGACCTTTGCTCATAGCAGTACACTTACTATCCATAAAAGGATCCACTCAGGGGAGAAGCCTTTTAAATGCATGGAGTGTGGAAAGAACTTCCCTCAAAGAGGTCATCTTATTTCCCATAAGAGGATCCACACAGGGGAAAAGCCGTATAGATGCATAGAGTGTGGAAAGACATTTACTCATGGCAGTGATCTTAAAAGACGCAAAAAGATGCACACAGGAGAGAAACCATTTAAATGCACGGAATGTGGAAAGACCTTTGCTCATAGATGAAATCTTATTTCCCATTAGAAATTAGGTGAAGAAAGATGATTGTTATGTAAGAGTTAAATACAGAGAGGGTTGACAATTAGAAACATGTTAATATAATTAACAGAACTCTTAAGTTATCTAATAAAAGAAATTCAGTTAAAATTATTTTGTTACACTATCATTATTGTTACTATATATATGTTGATATTTGTTTGTTTTTTCTTTTGCTTTTTTTAAATGATATGCCCTGACAATACACTGTATTGAAAATGTTTATGAATAAAAATAAAATATATACTCAAATAAAATAAAATAAATGCATGCAATGTAGGAATAGTTTTTCTTGGAATGGTCATCTTCTCATGCTCCGGAGATAGCAATAGCAATCCATTTAGACTTATATACCATTCCACAATGCTTTACCACCCTCTAGCAGTTTACAAAGTCAGTATATGGTCCCCAGCAATCTGGGTCCTCATTTTAGGGACCTCAGAAGGATGAAAGACTCAATAAACCATGAGCTGGTCAGGATTGAACTCCTGGCTATGGACAATTAGCCTGTAGTACTACATTCTAACCACTGACCTCTATAGGTCTCTATAAATTTGTATGTATAATAATCCAAATGAGACAAGGTTGAATCCAACAAATTGAAACTTAATGTGGAGAAAAGTAAGATTTTATACCTGGGCAGGAAAAACATTACAGGAAACCTGGCTCAAAAACAGTAACTGAGAGCGACCTTGGGAGTCTGAATGGATGATCACTTAAACCTAAGACAAGTGTGTGCAGCAGCAGCCAAACAAGCTAATATAATCCTTGATTGTATAAACAGGCATAGAATCAAAATCATGTGAAGTATTAGTACCGTTTTATAAAGCCTTTGTAAGTTCTTCCCATCCTTCCTATTACCCATCTCTTCCCACTTATGACTATAACCATGTTGCTCGTATCTTTGCAATTTATATTGTTTTATTTGGTCCCTAGTATGATTTGATTGCTTATTAGTAACCTGTGACTATCACCAAGTGTTGTATCTTGTGATTGTTGATACATGTATTTTTTTCTTTATGTACACTGAGAGCTTATGCTCCAAAGACAAATTCCTTGTGTGTCCAATCACACTTGGCCAATAAAGAATTCTATCCTATCCTAGTGCAACAGGAGAGATTATCTGGAGCTTAGTTCAACTCTGGGGTCCTTGGGGGCTTCTGAGCTTGGTTATTTCCTTGGAGACATTGAATTAACCAACTAGGTAACTGGGTCAGATAAATTCCCTCCATCCCTGAATTTTGGATGCTCAGCAGAAGGTGGAATGTGCTCTGTCCCACACACAAGAGGGAACTGACATTTTCTGGGGGTTCAGAGGGGAGGAAGGAGAAGCTGCTTGTAGCAGGTGGATGTCGTGAATCACAAAGAATCCAGTTGATCGAGATTGGGAGAGGGGGGAGAAGGTGAGGGAAATGGACAAACCTTGGGATCAGTTGAGGAAGATGGGATTTGAAAGAAGATGTGGTCCACAGAAGAGAATATCTGGAGGTTGGGTTAAACTGGGGTCATTGGGGCCCTCGGTGCTTGGTTCGCTTGGAGACGTTTCATTATCCAGCTAGGTAACATCCTCAGTGCAAAAGAGAGAGGGGATTGGCTGCCTGTTTAGATGCCCTGCCAGAGATTGTGTGGTTCCCTCCTGGATGGTTCCTTGATTGGAGGATTGTTTTCTGCCTGTTTGTCTGGTGCTGATCCCTGCTTATCTTGGAGGGGAGGGGAGAGTCTTTTTCATCTCCTTCCTATGATTTTTTTATTGCATAAATGTGATTTATCTCTCTGCATCTGTTGAAAACCAGAGATTGACCTTTTAGGATTACTGGATAAAGAACTTTAAATAAAAAATTGGAGCTTTATTACTGTACAAGCTAGTACAAATAGGAATTTTTAATATGTAAAACTGGAAATATACCTCCATCCCCAAGATTGAAGGTGGATGGACGGAAGAAATGAGGGAGTGGGCTGGGAGGGTGAGATGAGCTATTTTGACCAGAGAAAAGAAAAGATCCAGCTGTGTTTCTACCTGGAAACCACTTCTGGACTTTGTGCTTGAGGCAGAAGGAAGGGAAACCTTCTCTATAGGATTTGCTGATTAGGATTGCTTTTTATAGAAATGTACCAAATTTACTAAGAATGAACAGTAGAGGGAAGAATTGAGGCTGAAATTTCACTTTGTATTCTGCTTCCTTGAAAATAAACTTTTCCCCTTTTTTCTACACTTCCCCCCTTCTCTTTCCCATTTCCCGACCTTTATTTTCTATTTCATTCCATGGGAATCTTCATAAAAAAATAACCAAAAGGAGCCTTTTTTAAAGGGGTGCTTCCTGTTCCGCAGACGAAATATCCAAATTCCTGGGGAAAAAGTTCATCCGGATTCCACAATATATCCGCACTTTTCTACTGGCAAAATTTCTTCCGAAACTTTACTTGATGTTTTTCTCTGTTGAAAGAGAGAAATACCTGGCAATGATGGCAAAGAGGTGGACGTTTTCCGAAGAAAGGAGAAGGAAGCGGAGGAGAAACGGCTCACCTGGATTCCGGGATCTTCCCTCGGGGCCCTGAGGAAAAGGGGGACCCGGATTCCTCACCCACAGAAAGAGGGCGGGTCCTGGACATGAGGGGTCGAGGGGGGAAGAAAATCGGAAGAAGTGGGTTCATCCAGACGTTCAGAGCAAGGGAGACGCGTGTTTCAAGGAGGGAAAAGGCGTTTTTCTCCCGTGAAGAGAAGCGGCGTCTTTCCCGAGAGAGCCGAGAGGAGGATTCCCCCGGGAAGGGGGGAGGGGCTGGGAAGAGGATCCTGCTGGGCTAGGAGGGATCCCTGCAGATCCTCTCCGCCTTTTCCTGGTTCAGCTGAGGATTCCCTTCGGATTGGGGGTGTCTGTGACTCCCAAGTCTTCCCAGCTGCGGGGTGCCCCTCCCCCTTCTCCTCCAGCCCAGAAACTCTTCCCACGGCAGGAATTTTCATACGCGAAGTGAAGTGGGGGGGCGGAGGAATGGGGTGTTCCGGCCAGATGCTTACAGCCCCAGAGGAGGAATCGGGGCTCTAAATTGAGGCGAGGAAGCGTTATTTGACTTTGGAGCTGGGAGGGGCCAGAACGAGCTGCAGCACCAATGGGAATTCTTCCTGCTGGAGCGTCATCGGTCTCCGGGCAGAGTCCTTTGTGACTTCAGCTGAAGGAGGAGGGAGAGTACAGCGCAGAGAGCGAAAGTGAAAGTGGGAGGGGGGATCCCTTCAGTCTTTGGGGGCTGCAGCTCAAGGAGGGGAGTTCATGGCAGTTCTAGAAGGGACCCTCCACTTTCTTAGCTCCCTTCACGATTCTCAGCCAGGGATTCCCGCTTTCCCCACCTTTTAAATCCCCCCCCCCACACACACATTCAGATCAGCGACAGCCCTTCTTCAACCAAACACCGACCTACTATTTGCGGTGGGTCAGAAAACCCCACAGCGCCAGGGGTGCAACCGGCCTTCCGGCAACCCCTTTTGTCAGGAAGGGAGCCAAAGGTAGAAAATTCGGGGGGGGGGGGCAGTGACCCCAATGTCGCTTGTATCCTTAACATTTATATGGACTGTTTCCCAGTATGATTTAATTGCTTATTGCACCCTATGACTATCATTAAGTGTCGTACCTTCTGATTGTCGTCTCTTGATGAATGTATTTTAGTTTTAGGAGTAGTTTGTCGTGTACCACTGAATCAAAGGCTTTACAGAAGTCTATGTAGATTGCGTCTATTCCTTTGCCCTGATCGATTTGTGTAGTCCATATGTTTTTGCAGTGTAAGAGTTGCCGATTACAGGATAGTTTTTTCTGAAATGGTTTATTAGAGAGTAGGTTGTTTGTCTCTAAGTGTAGGATAATGGATTGGTTAGTAATTGATTCCATGACTTTACAGGTGATGCAGCATAAGGAGATTGGTCTGTAATTTTCAACTAGGCTGGGGTCTCCCTTTTTGAAGATGGGGATGGCTGTGGCTTGTGACCATAGTTTTGGCAAGGAGCTGGTCCTGAAAGATTTTTCAAAGATTATGCTTAGAAGTTTGGCTATGGCAGTGGATAGCTTTTTTAAAAAGTAAGCATATATTCCATCTGATCCAATGGATAGAGATGGTTTTAGATTGAGTAGTGCTTTTTCAACATTGTCTTCTGTAAAATCGATATGTATTAGATCATTGTCTGTGGTTGGACTAGGAAGTACTGGGCTTGATCCATTGCTGTTTACAAATACTGATCCGAAGAATGTGTTAAAGAGGTTGGCTTTAATAGGGTCGTCGTTGTAGTCTTTACCATTAGGTCCTTTCAGGGGTGGGATGGACCTTGAGTCTTTTAGTTTGTTGTTTACAAAATTATAGAAAGCGCGGGTGGAATTGGTGCGTAGAAGGTTTTCCTCTTGTTTAATGTGATAATTAGTGCATTCAGTTTTTATCTGGTGGCATAGATTTTTGTATCGGCTTTTGAAGTTGGCAACGTGACCAGATTCGTTTTTTCACCAAAGTGATCTCTTTTTGGATTGAAGCTTCCTTATTGTTATGGGTAATCTGTTTTTCCTGGTTTTTGGAGTTATTGGTACATATAGTTTGATGGCTCTTTTGATTTCTAATAAGAATATGTTGTAATGGTCTTCAACAGTATTGCATCAAGTGAATAGAAATTGCCAATCAAGGGATGAGAGATTGCTGATTATAAGATCATAGTTGCCTTTTTTAAAGTTATAATTGGGGATTTTGTTGTTGTGATGATTTTTGTGTGAACATATGTTGAGACCAAAGTCAATCATGTTGTGGTCACTGTTGGAAAAGAGTTCTTTTATTTGTATTCCATAAATTGAATTCAAACTATTGCAGAAGATGAGACCGAGGCAGTTGTTAAGCCTAGTATTGTTGGTTACTAGTTGTTCTAGCCCCAGATTTGTTACTGCATTGTAGAAGGTTGCATGTGTGGGTTCAGATGTACATTTGTTAAGGGTCCAGTTAATATGAGGTAGATTGAAGTCACCAAGAAAAAGTGTGTGGGCAGGATGCTGCTCATGTTAGTAGTGTATTTAGCTCGTTTACATGTTCTATGTCATAATCGGGCTCTGTAACATAGTAAGAATCGAAATGTGATGTTTAAGGTCGGTTCACAGATAATGGTCTCAGGAATAGCAAGCTCTTGGGTAACTTGGATGTTTTTTAGACGTAAGGACTTTTTATAGAAGATAGCAACACCAACTCCTCTACGAATTTCACGATCTGATTGGTAAACATGATAGTCTCTTACTATGGTAATGGAGTAAGGGAGAGATGTGTTGAGCCATGTTTCACAGACAAATACGATGTTGAATTTAGCCATATTTAGTAAGAGGAGAAATTTAGGTATTTTATTCACAAGGCTTCTTGCATTTAGTAGCTTGCATTTAAGGCCAATTGTAGTTTGAATTGAGGTAATTGGTGGTGTGCGTGCCTCGTCTTGGGTGATGGTGGATTGGTTGAAGTAGGGTTTCTCTTTATATTCTAATTTTCTTCCCCTTCTCTTTTTCTTTGGCCCTCATGAATTAATCCTGCTCTCCGATGCAAAAGGAATTTTTTTTTCTTTAGTAGCTGATGACTCTTTGTCCTGTTTGCAACCTCTGAGAAATGGAGGTGAAGGTGGCAGGATGGGGGGAGGAGGAGGATGGAAGCCTGGACCTTCTCCTGCTGAGACCCCCCCCCCTCCAGCTTCCTTTCAGGGCTGCTCTTTCTTGGGAGGGAAGGGTGGAGACCATCTAGACTGTCCCCAGGGATGCTGGGCTGACCTGTCACTCTAGCCCCTACATCTCTCCTGGTTTTGAACCCACAGCAGCTTCATCTACATTATTCTTCCTCCGAGTCACTTCCCTCCGCTTTGCTATGAAAGAATAAACTTCTTGGTTGGAGATAAGAGGTAGAAAGATGATTGCTATGTATGAATTAAACATAAAGATGGTTTATAAGTATGCCAATATAATTACCACAATTATAAATAAGCTGACATAAAGATATGTTTGGTTAAAATTATTCTGTTGTACCATTACTATTATTAGCATATATGTTGCTATTTTTTTCCTTCTCTTTTCTTTTGTAAATGAAATGCCCTGACAATACACTGTATTCAAAATGTTTACATATGAATAATAATAATAAAAAGAATAAACTTCAGATGTAGGAAAACCCTGGAATCCTTCCTTCCTTCCTCTTCCTCTTTCCTGCCCCCATAGGAGGCTCCTCCCTCTACTGCCTCTGGATCCACCATCCCGGCAACTTTGGGGGGGGGGGGGCGAGGGCAGAACTGGTTCAGGAGAAGGGTCGCCAGATCCAGGGAGGGGAAGGGGCTGGACCCCCCTCCTGCTCAGAGGCCCCCTTGCTCTGCTTCCCCTCAAGCCCCCTTTGGAGGAGCAGAATGCCAGCAGGCAGGGTCCTCCCTGAGCGCTTGTGGAGAGACATTGGGGGCACCTGAGACCCCCCCCTACACTCACCCCGCCATTTCAGCCATTTCTCTCACTCACAGCCGGAGGGTCCTACCCTGTTTTGGCACCCAAGGCCCCCCTCCCTCCCTCCCTTTTCGGGACCCAGATTCTAATTGCCCAGGATGGGTGTCGGCCACCGGTGGCCCCGGAGTCCCATGCGGCTCTTTCCCCGCTCTGCGGCAGCTCCCCGTGGCCCTCTCGTCCTCTGCATGGCGGGGGCGATGGCTGAAGCCTCAGGACGGGAGCGAAGCCTCCGTGGCGGGACCTGAGCTGCGGCCGCCAGCAAAGAGGCCGGGGATGGAAGAGCGGGGGCGGCTCTGGCAGGGGGAGGCTCCCCCAAGCCTGGCCTCCCTCCTCCCACATCGGCGGGACCGAGAAAAAGAAGGGGGCGGCGGGAGGAAGTGCGACCCCTTGGCGGGCCGGAGGGCGGAGGGGCCTGGGCCGGCTCTGGCAACGGGGCACTTTTGGGCCCCTCCAGCCATCTTGGAAATGCGCCGCCTCTTCCAGGCAGCTGGGCAGCGATGGGGGGTCCAGGGGGGGCGGGCAGAGGGGAGGCATCAGGGCTGCTCCCTCCCCTCCTCAGCAAGCCCGGCCTGGAGGAGCAGGGAGAGTGGCGGGCCGAGCGCCGGAGGGTCAGAAGGCGCGCTCCGACATGGCCCCAACACGTGTTCCCAGCGGGTCCCCTCTGTCCCGAAGTGGGGTTGAGTGAGGGGAGGGGAGAGGAGCTTGGAGGAGAAGCCCGGCTGGCTTTTCTTTTGGGGGAGGCGGAGACCCCCCCAAAACCTCCAATTCTTTCCCCCAATCAATGGGAGAAAGAAAAGCCCAGCGGTCCAGAGACCCAAAAGTGGGGAGGGGGGGTCTGTTCGTGGGAGGGTCGGGGGTTGCAATCTGGGCAGGAGGCTCTTCCGAGAAGGATCCGCCTGGGTCTCTCCTTCCCTCCCCCCAGACTCCCCCCCTCCCGGCTTCCTTCCCTCGCCTGGTTCGAAGTGGGGAGGTGGGGAGGAAGGGGGGGACCCTCGTTGCTGAAGGGCTGTGAGGGAGGGGGAGGGAGAGAGGGAGGGAGTGTGTGTGTGTGTGTGTGTGTGTGTAAATGACAGCCGAGGACAGCTTTAGCCACAAAGAACAGCTGCGGTTATTTTTCCTGAGAGTTTCTAAGCGACACGGCATTCTTTAATAAATATGAACAATAAAGAACCATAATATACAGGATTAAAGGGAGGAGGGAAGGGAGGAGGGAAGGGAGGAAGGGGGGAGAGAGAGAGGGAGGGAGGATGGAATCGCCGGATGGCCCTTCAGAGGTTCCTGCTCTACCCTCCCGTCGTTCCTGAGTTGTGTGTTAAATGGCCCCATTGGCCCTTTGTGAGAAATAAGGGGGTTTGGGGGACAGTTTGGGCCCTTCGGTCCCTACAAGGTTTGCCATCCCTTTACGAGGCCCTCCCCCTGGAGTAGCCCCTCCCTCCTCTCTCCCTTCTCCTCAGCCAAGCGTCCCCCCCACCCCCAGTCCCCCTTTCATGGACCCTCCCCCGAGTTAGCTAGAAAAAAATCGGAGGCCCCTTTCTGAGGAAGACCAGGGGGCGGGCAGTTTGGGAACCTAAGCGGACATCTAGTCCATCCCTCCGTGCAAAGGAAAGTGTAGCTGAGAATCGTGAAGAGAGCAAAGAAATGGAGGGTCCCTTCTCGGCCTGCCATGAACCCCTCTTGAGCTGCAGGCCCCAAGACTGAAGGGATCCCCACTTTCAGCTTCGTTCCCTGTCCCCGAACATCCTCCTCCCACTTTAGGTAAAGTCACAAAGGATCTGCCCGGACACCAATGATGCTTCAGCAGGGAGAATTCCCATTGGTGCTTCAGCTTGTTCTGCCCCACCCAGCTCAAAAGTCCAAGAAAAACCCTCCTGCTTGACACACATTCCTCCTTACACACACTGTGCTGTCCCAGCCAGTCTATGGTAAATGGATAGTTACTTAGGAATTATGAGCTGTCTCCTTAGGGGAATGCATCATGGTAAATGTAGTTAAAGGTATCCTGGGAAATGTAGTTCATGTCAGGTGGCCATATCTGTAATCCTGATTGGTCACTAATTTGACCCTCCATGGGTTGGGGGAGTTTCCCTCACTTTTGCCTGAACTCCCTAACTCATGGCAGCTGCTTTCTATCCCTACGAGATGGGTTAGGAGATAACCATCTTTTACTACAAGGCAGATATACGAAGGATTGGTCATTAAAGAAGAACTTTGTGACAAATATGAGTTGTGAGGATACCTGATGAACCAATAAATGTGCTTTGTTATGGACGTCTTGTTATCTATCTGTATCTGCACAGCTTAAATCCACCACTGTGCAGAAGACAGAAAACACACACACACAAATACAAACACACAAACGCGTGTTCATTTCATGGGTGGATTCTGCCATGGGAAGAGCTGCTGTATTGGATGGCAAGTGGGGGGAAGTCGGGGGTCAACCACAGACACCCCCAAAAGGGAGGAAAACCCTGGAAAACCCTCCATTAAACCAGGAAGAGGCACCGCTTTGCTTCGGGGGAGAAAAAGGCGATTCCCCTCCTTGAAACCCGTCCCCCTTGCTTGGAATGTCTGGACGAAGCCGCTCCTTCTGGTCTCCCGCCCCTCCAATGCCCCCTTTCCTTCCTTCTGTGGGTCAGGACCCTCCTTTTCCTCACAAAGTGGCCCCTGATAAAAATCCCTTCGACAGGTTGGACTAGATGACCTCCAGGATCCCTCCCAACTCTGTTAATCTGTTATCCTACCACCATCTCAAGCCCTCTAAGAATCTATATTTTTTCAGATTGCTGGGGACAATAAGCTGACTTTGTAACCTGCTCAGAGTGTGGTAAAGCGTTGTTGAGTGGTATATAAGTCTAAGTGGAATTGCTGTTGCTATAAAGTTTGTCCTGAGCATGGATCCTTTTAGGAGAAATAAGATGACCATTCTGAAGAAAACTCTTTCCACATTCCATACATTTTATTTTATTTGAGTATATGTTTTGTTCAAAAACATTTTGAATACAGTATGTCAGGGCATATCATTTACGAAAATGCAAAAGAAAAAACAAATATCAACATATATACTAGTAACAATCATGATTTTAAGTCATTTTTTGTATTAGCTTATTTATACTTTTTATGTTAATTGTATCAACATGTTTCTAATTGTCAACCTTCTTTGTATTTAATTCCTACATAACAATAATATTCCTTCACCTAATTTTTAATGGGAAATAACATTTCATCTATGAGTCTTTCCAAATTCCATATATTTATATGGCTTCTTTCATGTGGATCATATTATGGGAAATAAGTTTATATCTATAAGCAAAGAACTTTCCACATTCCATGCATTCAAATGGTTTCTTCCCTGTGTGGATCTTTTTGTGGCTTCTAAGGCCACTGCTCCAAGCAAAGGTCTTTCCACACTCCATACATTTAAATGGCTTCTCTCCTGTGTGGGTCATCTTATGGGAAATAAAAACATCTCTTCGAGTAAAGGTCTTTCCACACTCCATGCATTTATACGGTTTCTCCTCTGTGTGGATAATCTTATGAGAAATAAGACTCTGCTTTTGAGCAAAGGTCTTTCCACACTCCATGCATTTAAATGGATTCTCTCCTGTGTGTGTCATCTTATGGGAAATAAGACTTTGCTTTTGAGCAAACGTCTTTCCACACTCCATGCATTTATACGGCTTCTCCCCTGTGTGGATCCTTTTATGGGAACTAAGATGACCACTTTGAACAAAGTTCTTTCCACACATCATGCATTTATATGGTTTCTCCCCTGTGTGGATCCTTTTATGGATAGTAAGTTCCCTGCTTGTTCTAAAACATTTTCTACATTCCAAACAGTTATAAGGCTTCTCTTTTGTGTGAATCACTTTTTGAGATGTATGGAAGTTACTTCCAAGAGAAAGAATGAATGTCCCATTGTAATTTTGTCCGTTGTGTCTTCTTATAGCATCATCTCCTTTGTTTTGGGTTAAATAGTGTTCATTTACTTGTACTTTAGCTTTGATTAGATTCACACTTTTTCCAGTATATTTTTTCCTTATTTTCTCTTGTTGGGCAAGAAAGTCTTGCATCGGAGCAGCAGTGGAAAATGAGCTTTCCTGATTCCAATTCTTTGACTGGTTTCTCTCATGGCTTTCTAATTCCATTTGAATTCCAAACTTATCCGTTCCACCTTTAGCACTGATCACTTGGAACAGTTCACAGGAATCTTGATTTTCCTGTCCATTATTACCTTTAAAGCAAAAGAGAAATGAAAATGATAACAAGGTTAGAGAAAAAGATCAAAGTGTAGAAAGTGAATTTCCTTCTGAATTTCTCCAAAATTCCATTAGGTTGTATGCTTGCATGCCTGCAGTGGTGTAATATAGACATGATGATTTCTATATTCGTGAGTCATGAAAGCTTTGAAAATATCTACAACAACGTCTCTTATTTTACAATTATCTATATATATGCAAATCTCACTCAGAGTCAGTTTTGAGTTAAGGAACAATCAGGGGAAACATCCAAGCAGGAATTAGGAGAAAACTTAAGTTTTATTGGGGTGGCTTAATTTCAGCAGAGACCTGTGAGAAATGAAACAATTTTGAAACAAGCTCCTTCTTCCCCGGTGTACCTTGCAGCAGCTGCTCCACGGCATCTGTCTGGTGGGCAGGACCCCTGCTTGGCCTGTTCTTCGATCCCAGCGATGAAACTTTGGAGATAAATCCCTTGCTCTTTGTGCTGAGACTGGAAAGGTTGGGATGCTTCAAGAATGGCTATTTCACTGCCCCAAAGCCTTGCAAGGGCTCTTGGGCCATATCTTGTATAAGCGTTGGTTCTCAGAGAACGGAGGCCTAAAGTACTTTAGTATGAGATCACACAAGCCCAATAGTGCAAGATCTCAGGCTACTAATCTTCTGTGATCTCGCACTGCAGTACTTTAGACCTGTGTTCTTTTAAGAACTGAGGACTTCACGAGATCCAAGTAAAAAGTCTTTGAAAACAAAGAGGGGACTGGGTCTCAAGTACTGGAGGAGGGCTGATCATAACTTGGAACGGTCGCTAAGTGAACTGTCATAACTTGGGGATTACTTGTACCCTAGGATGCTCTGAGTCACACTGCATGAGGCCTTTGTTCTTGAATTGGATTGGGAGAATGCTGTTCCATGGGCTGAACATGAAAGTTCTGTTCTCACACAATTTGGGGAGGTTCCAGAGGACAAATGACAACACACTCCTCTCACACGACCTCCAGAGGACACAT